TCTACATGGCCCCAAGCGTGCCCCAATTTAAGAATTGATCCCTTAACTTTGAACGTCTTTCAGTGAGGAATACCTGGCCAGGACCCTCAACTGGGCGGGGTGAGTGTCCCGGACCATCGACCACACCCCCACCGCCCGCAACCTGCGCCAGCCGGCAAACCCCGGGGAACACAGGGCAAAACAATAATAATTATAATAATAATCCGTGCATTTGACCCGCCCCCATCACGTCTCCCACGTCTCAAAGCGCTTCACAGGATAACACTGTAAAGTGGGGTGACTGTGCATTTTGTGGGCGAAACGCGGCAGCCAATTGCGCGCAGACGTATATTAACCTCTCTGTCTCTCTATGTCCCTCTCTCCCCTCTATCTATGTGTCACTCTCTCCCTCTCTGTCGGCCTGTCTCTCTCTCTTTGCATCTCTGCCTCGCCCTTTATTGCTCCTCACCCCCTCTCTCTCTCCCCCCCCCCCGCTCTCCATCTCCCCCACTTTCTTTTGCCCCTTCTCTACTCCCCTCTCTCGCTCTCTTTCTTCACTATGTCTCTCCCCCTGTTTCTCTTCCCCACCTCTCTCTCTCTCCCCCCCCCCTCCCCACTCTTCTTCTCTCTCTCTTTGGGGTGGGGGGGGTTCAGGGCTACACTGATGAGCCGGTGACAAAGATCCTGTCCCACGTGGAGGACGGGAACATTGTGCAGTTGGATCGCTGGACACTGCAGCAGGAGAGGAACGGAGAGGCCACCCCCGAGGAGAGAGACGAGCCGGCCGCAGAGAAGGTGTGTCCGGCGAGGAGAGGGAGGGGGAGGCGGTCCCGGGGCAGTGAGTGAGGGGGGTGAGTGGGGAGGGAGAGCGAGGAGTGAGTGAGGGGGTGAGAGGGGAGCAAGGCAGTTGGAGAGGTGGAGAGGGGGGGGGTGGGGGCGGAGGGAGCAATGGGGGCGAGGGAGAGGTCGGGAGAACCGAGGGGAGAGGGGAGTGAGGGGAGGGGAAGGGTCGGAGTGAGGAGAGGGGGTGAGGGGAGAGGGGGAGCAACGGGCGAGAGGGGGAGTGGGGAGCAGGGGGAGAGGGGAGGGGGGAGCAAGGCAGTTGCACAGGGAATAGAGAGTGGGCTGGGGAGCAAGTTGAAGGTGGGGGGGATGTGTATCCCTGCGGGAGCCGGGACGTGTGTGGTGGGACAGTGACTCCCCGTGGTGGGGGGGGGGGTATTGACCGTGGGGTAATGATTGCTGACGACAGTTGCTACGTGCACCCCCCCCCCCCTCTCCGCAGCTTCCCCTCGACGTCTTCAACAACTATTTCAGCCTCGGTTTCGATGCCCACGTCACACTGGAATTCCACGAATCCAGAGGTTCGTTCCCGGGGGAGGGAAGGGGTTGCTGTGGGGGGGGTCGGTGGGGGTGGTGGGGGGGGGATCGGGGCGGGAGGGTGGATTTTGAGGCGAGTGGAGCGGGGCTAACCCCCCGGTCTGTGTTGCAGAAGCCAAGCCGGAGAAGTTCAACAGCCGCTTTAAGAATAAAATGTTCTATGCCGGGGTGAGTAACATTGCCCCCGATCCCCCCCCCGAGACTTGGCTGCCCTCACCCCCCACCCCCCACCACCCCCCAGGCTGGTGACCCGTGTAACTCTCTCTTCCCCCCTTTCCCCCTTTCTCTCTCTCTCTCTCCAGACGGCGTTCTCAGATTTCCTGATGGGAAGCTCCAAAGATTTAGCCAAACACATCAAGGTGGTGGTGAGTGAACACAGTTACTCCATCAACAGCAGCCTGCACCCCTCCCCGCCACACCTCCCAACTAATGCCCCCCCCCACTCCCCCCTTCTCTGGTGCTCTCCCTCTCTCCCCCACCACCCACCTACAGGTTCTCCCTCTCCCCCCACTTCTCCCGCTCCCCCTACGAGTTGTATCCCCCTCCCACCCACCCCAACCCCCTCCTCGCAGGCGCTCCCCCTCCCCTCTTGAAGGCTTTATCCCCGCCTCCCCTCCCTGCGGTCTCTCTCCCCCCGCGCCACCGCGCCCCCCGTCGCAGGCTGTCCCCCCACCCTCCCACCGTGAGCGCTCTCTCTCCCCTCCTCCGCCCTCTGTCACCTTCAGCGTCTCGCCCATGTTGTGGGTCCCTCGCCTCGCTGCCGTCACGTAACCTTTACCCTCTCGCTCGCCCCCCACCCTCCCCCCCCCTCTCCCCCACAGTGTGACGGGACGGACTTAACGTCAAAGATTCAGGACCTGAAGTTGCAGTGCATCGTGTTCCTGAACATCCCCAGGTGAGGAGGAGCTCGAGGGTGGGAGGGTGAGGGACAGGGTGTCTGTGAGGTGGTGTGTGAGCGAGCGAGGGAGGGAGCGAGTGAGAGGGTGTGTGGGCGAGTGAGGGAGTGTATGAGCGAGTGAGAGGGAGTGTGTGAGCGAGTGAAGGAGTGTATGAGCGAGTGAGAGGGTGTGTGAGCGAGTGAGAGAGGGAGTGTGAGCGAGTGTGAGGGAGTGTGAGCGAGTGAGGGAGTGTGAGCGAGTGTGAGCGAGTGAGAGGGAGTGTGTGAGCGAATGAGGGAGTGTATGAGTGAACAAGATGGAATGTGTGAGCGAGCGAGGGGGAGTGTGTGAGCGAGTGAGAGGGAGTGTGTGAGGGAGTGAGAGGGTGTGTGAGGGAGCGTGTGAGCGAGCGAAGGGGGAGAGTATGAGCGAGCGAGTGGGAGCGTGAGAGCGAGCGAGAGGGAGCGTGCGGGCGAGCGAGGGGGAGCGTACGAGCGAGCGAGGGGGGAGCGTGAGAGCGAGCGAGGGGGAGCGTGCGAGCGAGCGTGTGAGCGAGCGAGGGGGGAGCGTGCGGGCGAGCGAGGGGGGAGCGTGCGGGCGAGCGAGGGGGGAGCGTGCGGGCGAGCGAGGGGGGAGCGTGCGGGCGAGCGAGGGGGAGCGTGCGGGCGAGCGAGGGGGGAGCGTGCGGGCGAGCGAGGGGGGAGCGTGCGGGCGAGCGAGGGGGGAGCGTGCGAGCGAGCGAGGGGGGAGCGTGCGGGCGAGCGAGGGGGAGCGTGTGAGGGGGATGTGAAGCCATGTTGTCCTGACGCTGGGCTGTGGCTGTAGGTACTGTGCTGGCACCGTGCCGTGGGGAAACCCGAGTGAGCACCACGACTTCGAGCCCCAGCGACACGACGATGGCTACATCGAGGTCATCGGCTTCACCATGGCCTCACTGGTGAGATCAGCATCTCTCGCTCTCTCTCGCGTGGCGGAGTCGGGTGGTGGGGGGGGTGGGGTGGGGGGGGGCGGAGTGGGGGGGTAATTATCCCTTCAAAACAACAAATAAATTAAAAATAATAATAATGATTTGGTCACTCGATCCACGGCTGTTTGCGGGGACGCTGCTGTGCGCGGTCGGCTGCCGCGTTTCGCCCACAAAAGACACAGTGGCTACACTTTACAGTGTGTCCTGTGAAGCGCTTTGAGACGTCTCGAAGACGCGATGAGGCACTGTATCAATTGCGAGGATTATTATTATTATTATTATTATTATTATTATTATTATTATTATTATTATTATTATTATTATTATCCCGGTGATGGCCGGCCGGGACTCTGGGGGAACTGAACTCCTTTCTCTCTCTCTCTCTCTCTCTCTGACATCCCGGGCGGTATCGTGCCCGAGCGGGACGGGCGCAGGTTACTGTCTGGACTGTAGGGGGCGACGTCACATTGCGTTACTTTGAGACTCTTCTCATCCGTTGACGCGCGAACATTGCTATTTCTTTCTCTCGTTCTTTTGTTCTTTCTTTCGCTCCTTCTTTCACTGTTGCTCTCTCTTTCACTCTTCTGTTCTTTCGTTCGTTCGTTCGTTCGTTTTTCTTTCTTTCTTTCTTCTTTCTTTTTCTTTCTTTCTTTCTTTCTTCTTTCTTTCTTTCTTTCTTTCTTTCTTTCTTTCTTTTTTTCTTTCTTTCTTTCTCTCTCTCTCTCTCTCTCTCTCTCTCTCCCTCCCTCCCTCCCTCCCTCCCTCCCCCCTGCCCCCCAGCTGGGGTGCAAACCCTTGACTGCCTTGGGACGTCCTCCCCCAAGTTTCTCACGGGCGGGGGCTTTGGGAGGGTGTGGGGGGTGGAACGGGGGACTGTGTGACCCGCGAACAGCTCGTGACTGTAGATGTGTTGTTGTTGTTGTTGTTGTAGGCTGCTCTGCACGTGGGAGGTCACGGCGAGCGGCTGAACCAGTGCCGCGAGGTCACCCTCACCACGTACAAGCCCATCCCCATGCAGGTGGACGGGGAGCCCTGCAAGCTCGCCCCGTCCGTCATCCACATCTCCCTGCGCAACCAGGCCAACATGGTGCAGAAAACCAAGAGACGCACCTCCATTCCTCTCCTCAACGAGTGAGTAACCGTGTGAACCCCCCCTCCCCGCGAGAGAGCCAGAGCCCCCCAACCCCACCCCACACCTCCACACCTCACTGTCTACCCCTATCCCCCGCTCCCCCCACTGGAGCTCTCTACTCTAACCCCATTCCCCTGCTCTCTCTCTCTCTCTCTCTTTCTTTCTCTCTCTCCCCATCGTGTGTGCGCTGGGGCTCGCTCCCCTCCACGTGAATGAATGTAAAGATGGAGAGAGAGGGAGAGGGAGAGAAGACTGGGATGAGGTGACCGCACAGGCCAAACCCAGTCAAGCGACAAGAACGTGCCCTTACCTGGAGCCTCAGTGTAGAACATGGTCCCCGGCTGCGATGCTCTGCTCCGAGAAGCCCACCCGCCCGCCCACTCGCCCGCCCGCTCACTCGCCCGCCCGCCTGCATGCCCGCCCGCTCGCCCACTCGCCCGCCCGCTCACTCGCCCGCCCGCCTGCATGCCCGCTCGCCCGCTCGCTCGCCCCCCCGCCCGCCCGCTGTCGGTTTGCTGATCGGTTGGTGATGTGCCTCAGTCAGCAGACAGTGCCGGAGCGGCTGAGGATACGTGTGAGTCGCATCAGCATGCACGACTACGAGGCCTTGCACTACGACAAGGAGAAGCTAAAGGAAGCCTGTGAGTGACGCTGCCACGTGCAGTGTCTCCTTTCATTCACAACGTTCCTGTGGCTCTGTGTGCGTGTGTTCGTGTCATGCGTGTGTTTGTGTCCCGCGTGTGTTTGTGTCGTGTGTGTGTGTGTGTTTGTGTCATGCGTATGTTTGTGTCGTGTGTGTTTGCGTCGTGCGAGTGTTGGCGTCGTGTGTGTTCGTATGCCCGTGTTTGTGTCATGCGTGCCCTTGTGTCTTGCTTGTGTTGTGTGTGTTCGTGTCATGTGTGAGTTTGTGTCGGGTGTGGTTTGTGTCGCGTGTGCAATTGCTTGTGTTGTGCGCGTGCGCGCGCGCGTGTGTGAGAGCGAGAGATATAAAACGTAGGAAAGCAGGAACAGGAGGAGGAGGCCGTTCACGACTGTTTGTGGGGACGCCGCTGTGCGCAATTGGCTGCTGCGTTTCGCCCGCAAAATACAACAACAACAACAACAACAAAATGACATTTATAGAGCGCCTTTCACGTCGGGAGGACATCCCAAAGCGCTGAACAGTCAGGTGTCGGGGCCCGAGCGTGGGGGAGGGGGGATGTAGGGGTGAGGGAAGGCAGAGAGGTGTGAGGGAGACCAAAGGCACAGTCGAAGAGGAGGGTCTTGAGGCCGGCTTTGAAGGAGGCAACGGAGGAAGCGAGGCCAAGGGACCATGGGATGGAGTTCCAGAGTGTGGGGGCAGAGAGGCTGAAAGCCCAAACACCGATGGTATACACAGTCAATTCACTTTACAGTGACTTTACTGTGAAGCGCTTTGAGACGTCTCGAAGACGTGATGAGGCGCTGTGTCAGTTACAAGAATTATTATTATTATTATTATTAAGTGACTTGTCCACCAGGTGGCAGTGTTGGGCAGGTCAACCCCATCTCTCCTGTTGGGGAGTGTTGAGCGCGATGGACCGATGGAGCTCTCTCTGTCCTCCTCAATGAGGGGTGGGGGGAGTTTGTCGGTCTTAAATAAACAGTGCCAGTCCAAGTGGGGGGGAAGGGGGCTTGAACCCAGTCTAAGTGGGGGGGAAGGGGGCTTGAACCCAGTCTAAGTGGGGGGGAAGGGGGCTTGAACCCACAACCTTCTGACCTGGAGGTGGGAGTGAGAGTGACTGAGGAATGAGTTGTCTGTAGCGAGTTTGGGGGTCCTGTGACTGTGGGTCGGGAGGTTTGACGTGATGCAGAATGATTTTCTGACGATCACGATGTTGTGAATCTCTTTTTTTCTCTCCCTCTCTTCCTCTCTCCCTCTCCCCCTCGCTCTCTCCCCCGCTCTCTTTCCCCTTCTCTCTGTCTCCCCCCCTCTCTCTCCCTCTTTCCTTCTCTCCCTCCCTCTCTCTCCACACAGCGGTTCCTCTGGGCATCATCGTGGTTCCTGGGGACAGTGACCTGGAAATGTGTCGCACGCAAATCGAGAGGCTTCAGGAGGTATGTCTCCCCCCCCACCCCCCCACCACATCCCCGCCCCTCATCCTCACCATGCCCCCTCCATCACCCCCCCGCCCCCATCCTGCACCCCCCACTCCCCACAATCAGAGCTGTACCCATGCTATGAATTGGACGGAGACGATGAGGCTGTTGCTGTTGTTGTTAAAACCCACTCCGTTTACCCCGCCTGCCCGCCCGCCAGCCTTCGCACCACCTTCACAGCCGCCGGGGATGTTGGGGTCCCATTTTTGCGCCGTTTCTTGATGGGATTTCTTAACCAATCAAGAAATGTCTCAATTAAGCCGCTTCTTCATTTAAGAAATCACAAACCCTGTAACCCAGAATCGTGGGAAAAAATACACGGCCAATTCACTCGACAGCCTGGTCTGTGAAGCGCTTTGAGACGTCTCGGCGACGTGATCAGGCGCTGTATCAATTGAGAGGATTATTATTATTAATAAATATGATTATCTGTCTGTCTCGTCGCTCCTGTAACATCTCTCTCTGAGCTTCCGTTGCATCTGAGCTCACAAGCTGGCAACAGTCATCTCATCCCAGCGCCTTCTGATACGCAAGGAGAAGTGATGTTGATCTCCCCCCCTCCCCCAACCACCACCAACCCTCCTCCTCCCCCGCGCAGCCCCCTTCCTTCCCCCTTCCTCCCCCCCTGTGGTTGCTATGTGGCTGCGGACTGACGCACTACTAGATCTCGTGCCTCTTCCTCAGGATTTACCAGTGGTTCATCCCTCACTCCAGCGCCTGGTCCTTCAGGTTTGTGAACCAGGCCCACACACCCACCGTCCCCCTCCCCTCTGCATCCCTCTTCCTCCTCAGCATGTGCCCCCCCACTCCCACTTCCTCATCCCCACCCCCCGCTTGTGCTGACTCATCACACACCATCATGACGCTGTTGAGAGCCAAGCATGAAACCCATGGGTCACGTGTGCACCCAGAGCTCCTGTGTCTGTGTATGTGTGTGTTTGTGTATGGGCACGGGGCATTTGCATGTAATGAGGGGGTCACGTGTGTGATGTGTGTGTGAGGTCTGACTCCCGTGTGGTTCAGTGCAGTCGGCCCCTGTGAACCCAGGTCACCGGGTGTCTAACCCCCTCTGACACTACGGGATTAGTGTCGTTAAAGGAATGGGGAACAAGCAGTGGGAATAGGGTTAGAATAGAGAGTTCCAGTGGGGGAGCGAGCCCCAGCAGGTCATCTGTCCGCTAGCACTTTGCAGTAGAATTTGCACACCTGGAAAAGGTAAGCGAGCGGAATGCAGACAGGTGAGCCACTCCCCCTCCCGCCACTCCCTCAGGCTCATGAGACAGCAATCATTCCGGGGCAGTTTTGGAGCTGACTGTTAGACACCTGACAGGTGAGCCTGACTTATTGGGAGTGGGGGAGGTTGTGGGGTGGAGGATAGGGGGGGTGCAGCGAGAGATCCTGTCACTGTGAATCCTAACAGCGGTTTTGCTGAGTTTCAATCATTGACGAGAATCTGGGAGGGGGGCAGAGGACATGCCAACATGTCCGACTCGTCTCTGAGTCAGAAGGTTGTGGGTTCAAGCCCTCCTCCTCCTCTTGCCCCCTCCCCCACCCCATTCCCTCGCATTCCCAGTCTAGGCTGAGGCTTCAGGACAGTGTAGCAGATCAACAGCAACTAGTATTTACATGGCGTCCATCGCCCAGGGGTAGAAGGAGGTGTGGGAGTCTGAGAGTGACCAACGAAGCTTGACGGCTGACTTCAAACCTGATCCCTTCATGCATTGCACGGCTCAAGCATGGCTGCCTGTTCCAGTCGCCTCCCGTACTGCGGTAACAGAGGGTGTCCCAACTCACGGTCTAACCCACCCGTCACCTTCCATTGCAGGAGGGCGATGGCACCAAGTCCAGAACTTTGTCTTCACAGAAGCTGTCTCCCAAATGGTGTTTCCTGGACTGTAAGTATCTCCTGATGGATGTGTGAGGAAGCTTGCCGTGTGTCGGAGCCCCCCCCACCCCCTCCACTCCCCCTCCCCCTCCCTCTCCCCCCTCCCCCCTGGGGATGCTGCTCTGGGGAGAATGTGGGGAAAGCAAAACCCAGCCTCCCTCCCCCCACCAAACCCAGTGTGGCATCTACTCCGTTTGTTTTGAAAACAACAACAACAAAAGTTACAGGCGTTTCAACAGCAAATGGTGTTATGGGGGGGTTGACGTGAGTGAGTGAGTGAGTGACACTTTCACATCATGCTCCATCTGGCTCCGACCTTTCACTTCTGGGACTTGGGCGAGGGTACCTTCATATGCCTCCTCCCCCCCCCCACCCCGCCGCCAAGTCTGCTGGGTTGGAGTGCAGGGGGTGGGGGTGGGTTCGTGGTGGGGGTAGCAGAGCCACTGACAACAGTGTTTATCAAAGGCTGGTGTGTTGTCCTCCTGTATGTGGAGAGCAGGGAGAAAAGACTGGGAGTCGAGATGCAGTTTGCTTCACCTTAAGAGCATAAGAATTCCGTTCGAAAGAAGACCAAGGCCCATCCAGTTCACCCTCCACCATCCTGCCAGTCGCGTGACATGTCGTGCCCCAAACTATACACCGTGAATCGGGGAAAGCGTCCGTAAGGACTTGATCTGTGAGAATAAGGCCAGGGGTTGAGATGGGATGATTGACTTTTGTTTGGAGCGGTGGGAAGGAGGCGGAGGAGGAGGAGGAGGAGGAGGAAGCCGGAGTGAGAGATGTGCAGATAGCTCTGTCTGCTGAGAGCTCACCTGAGCATTGGGTGGGAGGGAGCGGATAGATAGATTGACTAAGGAAGGTGTGTGTGTGTGTGTGTATGAGAGGGGAGGTGGGTGTGAAAGAATGCCACATGGATGTGAACCACAGAGCAATGTGACATGTTCATACAAGTCTTCAGGAATGGTAGATGCTTCTTATCTGACCTGAGGACCCTGTATTGATAGCTCAGTAAAGCTCCATCAAAGGGTGCCTTTGGCCTGCCCTGTGCAGGTTTGCTTTGTAACCCTGTGGCTAGTCAGGAAGCAGTGTCCTCTCACACAGCCTCTTAATCCTTGCTGTGGATCATTCCCACAAATGCGGAGTTCCCGTAGCGTACTGGTTAGCGCGAGCGAGAGGACCTGGGTTGGATTCCCAGGCGGGTCAGGGCCAAACCTTAGGTAAGTTTCCTTACGCTTTCCGGAGGTAATAATCCCTCCCCCACCCCAAAAAAATATTAAAAATTTGGTCGCTCAATCCACGACTGTATGTGGGACGCTGCTGTGTGCAATTGGCTGCCGTGTTTTGCCAAGTACGCAGTCACTACACTTTAAGTATACTCTGTGAAGTGCTTTGAGACGGCGCGATGACGTGATAAGGCGCTATTTGAAATGCAAGGATTATTATGAATGGTTTATTCATTCCCCCACCTCTCTCTCTCCCTCTCTCTCTCTCTACTTCACTCTTGCGTGGGCTCACTCCACCCCACCAAGGGTATTGTCCTCTCTCTTTCTCCCCCTCCTCCCCCCCCGACCCCCACCGCCATCCCCACTCCCCTGAACAAAGTAGTCGAGCTCATTAATCACCAGCAACCTTTGTGCCCAGAGCCTGTCAGACGCTCTTTCCACTGAACGCACCTCCTGGCTGCGCTGTTCTGTGCGGCGGGCCCGGTTATTAATGACCCACGTGCCCGGGTGTTTACCCGCGCGGCGTTCCCAAGGCCTCGGGATTATATCAGTTTATTGTCCACGATGATAATAATCCTCGCATTTGGTAATGGCGCCTTTCACGGCGGGAGGACGTCTCAAAGCGCTTCATGGGATTTCACTGTAAAGCGGAGGTAGTGACCGCACGATGCGTGGGCGAACCCGGCAGCCTATCTGAGCACAGAGAGTCCCCGCAAACCGCCATGAAGTGAACGACCAATTTTCTTTGTTATTTGGGGGATTGTTGGCCGGGACATCGGGGCTGGGGCTGGCGGTGGGGGCGGGGAGCGAACCCCCCCCTTCAGTTTTTAGTTTAATTTAACACCATTATTCTGCCAGGTAGGAAAGGCTGGAGAGCAGAGAGTTAGTTAGCACGAGAGGTAGACAGTTTCTGGTTCTGCCTCACCCCCAAATTTAACACCATTATTCTGCCAGAACTTAGTCCCATTCGGAGCTCGTACAGCGGTGGTGGCGGTGGGTGTTTGGGGGGGTGGGGGCGGGTGGTGTGGGGGGAGGAATCAGTGTGACGTAGACTTAATGCGGTAACTGGATATTGCTGTGCTCAGTGCTGTGATGGCTGTCTGGCTGTTTGCTGCCACGTCTTGTTATTGCTGTCGTTGTCGTTTACCACGAATCCACTTGAGAAAACAAGACGCAGTTTTAGCTCCGTGCCAGCGCGTAAGAAGCCATCGGGTATTTTTCCGAGCGTTTTCTCCCATCCCACGTGGATGGCGGGGTGGTGGTGGTGATGGTAGTGGTGGTGTTGGGGGGGGTCAAGAGAGGTAGAGGAAGGGTAGAATGATCGATGAGGACGTCCTCCCGACGTGAAAGGCGCTCTATAAATGGAATCTTGTTGTTGTTGAGGGAGATTGAAATGGGGGTGGGGGGTGGGGGGGGTGGGTCTAATTATGAAGGGTGCTGGTTTACAGCAGAGGGAGAGACAGAGACAGAGACTGAGCGACTCACCCAGTCTGACTTGGACTCAAACCCAGATCCCCGGCGTGAAAGGAAGAGTGTGAAATGTTACACACACTCACACTCACACACACCCCGTGTAACATTTCAGGGCGAAGCTCTCGGACGTACTGTGCGTCCAAACCCTCCTCCCGATCTGATGGTTTCCATCTGTCTGTCCTTCCATGAAACTCAACAGTTCATTCAACCTCCCTTTCCACCAACACCCACCCCCCAACCCCTTCGTTTATCAGATCGATAAACATCAGCCCACGGCATCCTTTTAACCCTTAACCCACCTAATAAGACAGCGCTCCACCACTGAGCTCGCTCGTCATGCTAGCTGTTGAGCGGTGGATTAAGTGTTAGGGGCCATGCTGGCATTTGATAAGTGTGCGGCTCATTAGATACGGTGGCTTTGATTGTGATCGGGGGTAGTCTCATCCTGGGCATGCTACAAATCATTGCCCCACCCCACAACCGCCCCTTCCCTACCCACCATCCCCCACCTTCAGCCATGACCTCCATTGACACAGTGTCCTTGTGCACCATTCTGTCACCCAGTGCCTCATTGCCTCACCACCTAACATCATAAGGGACTGACCGGATTAATGACAGAGGCACAGGTTGTCCCTGATTGTGCTACTGAGGATCTGGTTTATCTCTCGTTCGCTAACGCTCCCACACTCCCCACCACCATACCACCCCCGCCCCCTCCAAGCCCCCCCTAATCCTCAACAGGACCACAGCTCCCCCACTCCCTGGTCCGGACCACCACTCCCTCCAAAACACCACAGGACCACTTGTGCCTCTGGAATTGGTCCTTGCCCGCCACTAATCTCGTGCGATGTTGTAACAGGATTCTTCTTCTGTTTTTCCTACACTTACCTTGTTTCTTAAAAGGTGGATTACGACACGGTGAGTACACACGCGGGCACGCTGAGCTGACGTTGAGCGTTGTAAAGCCAGCCCTTTCAGCCTGTACTGGACCTGAGCTTAGCCGTGCCACCTTCAACCGGGGAGGGCGAATTGGAACCCGAGGGTTAGGGAGGGAGGAAACAGCCGAGGTTCCTGCTCCTGGGTGCTCTGCAGCGCCCTCTATTGGTCACGTGCTGTGTGTGCGTTTGTACGTGTGTGCATGTGTGGCAGCCGGTGAGGGGTGGGGGGAGAGGTCGAGTGGCTCAGCCGACACTCACTTCCAAAGGCTCAGTACGTGAACAATGGCCACTCGGGGTGGGGTGAGGTGGGTCGGGGGGAGTGGGGTGGGGGGGGCAGCACTGGGGGGCACCAGCCTCCAGAACATCACCCTGGCGACAGGAAGCCAGACCGGGCTGAAGAGGTGTACTTAAGAGGGGAAGAATATTCAAAAAATAATTGGACGCGCTAACATTTTTGGGGGTGAAAAAAAAGACCTTAGTTATGGCCAGATATTTGGACACCGTTGTACGAAGGATGTAACAGCAGTGACTTAACGCCGCCCCCCTACATTTGAGACGAGAAGGTTAAAGCACCCGATTGGGTGTCGTCACAGGGGTAAGAGGAGGGGAAATGGGTGGGACCTGTGTGGCGTATAAAGATTGGCACGGACGAGTTGGGTGGAGTTGGCCTGTTTCCGCCGCCCTGTCCCTCTGGATGAAGTGTTCTGACAAGTGCAACGTGACAGAACCTGAGTGGGTGGTTTGACCTTTGAGTTTGTCCCGCGGGCATTTGCATGAGCCGAGCCATGGAATTCCACATAGCCTCAGCCCCCCACCGCCAGACCCTCACCGTCCACCGCGTCTTCAAATCCAAGAGTCCTCAGTTTCGGACACCAGGAGGAACTCCCGTCTCTTTTCGAACGGACAGACGGGACCTTGCGTCAGCGTCTGAGCCAAAGGGCGGGACCTCGGACAGTGCAATGCTGCTCAGGTACAAGTGAGCCCAGGCCCGATGCAGGGCTGGAACCCGTGACCTTCTGACTAAAGACTTGAGCCTGGCTGACATCCAGTTCAGGTGCACATGTACTGCCTTTCTCTGCCCTCCGAAAGGCCGCACTAGCTGCTAGCAAATTATTATTAATAATAATAATACCGATCACAATGATAAGTCAAACCCTCGCGTCTGACGCAGCGCCTTTCGAGGTGGGAGGACGTCTCAAAAGCGCTTCACGGGTTTTGCTGTGAAGTGAAGCGTCTGTGGGCATTTTGTGGACGGACGCAGCAGCCAATTCGCACGCGCGCAGTCATTGCCGCTGAACTTTGCTGCTTGTCAGAAGGGTGGCTTGATCCCAGGCTTTGCTCCGTTACTGATGAACGAGGCAGACGGGGGGGTGTGGCAGGGTGGGGGGGTGGGTTATAGGTGTTGTGCCAGAAGTTACGGGAAGCCAGCTGTGAGTCACTTGGTCTGTGTCGACTCCTAACTCCTGCGGGACATCTTTGCGGCGGATGAGAAGCTGCCCAGAGTCGGGGGTGACGTATTATTCTGCTGACCTGTAGGCGATTTATAGTCCAGGCTCCAAACCACACGCAACTGTGGGGACCAACTGACCGACCGACCGACCGACTGACCGGTCAGTGACCGAGTGTGTGTCCATCGCAGAGACCGATGGAGACACCGTGGGGAGTGGGGGGGGGGTCGCGGAAGTCGAGTTTCTCATCGTCTCAGCCTTGAGTCTGGTCACGAGAAACGAGGAGACAATCGTTGCATTTGATACAGCGTCTCTCTTAAGGTTGTTTCTTTGGTGGTGGTGGTGGTGGTGGTTGTTGTTGTTGTGCCGTGTGCCGAACCCGTATCAAATGCGAGGATTGTTGAGCGGCCGTTTGCGAAATGTCACGGTTTTTCAACCGCAACGGCGCGTCGCATGAGACGGTAAAATGCGCGTCAGATGCCGTTAGAAGTGCACCTTCTCTGAACTCCAGGCCTCGGTACCTATCTGGGCCTCTCAGTGTTAAAATAACATCTGTTGGTTTCCACTTAAGGTTGCCCGCAACCCCCCTCACCCCAACCCCCTCTTCAGTTTCCCCTCCCCCACACACACCCACAGCCCCCCCCACCCTCACCCCACGCCTCAATGCCTTAATTAACGGAGAGCAAAGCTCGCCTGTCCGGGGGGATGTGGGGGGGGGCTGGAAACAAACCGAGGAGATAGGACAGGAAAGCCAGCTCAGGCCAAATGTGTTACCAATTACCGTCAGCGCAGGCGGAGAGCCTTGTAATCTCACAGTAAAATCTCCCCACTAGCTTTACGGTCAGGGTGCTCTGCGGTCAGGAGGAACATAGAAACAGGAGGAGGCCATTCAGCCCCTCGAGCCTGTTCCGCCATTCGACTAGATCATGGCCGATCTGTACCTCAACTCCGTTTACCCGCCTTTGCCCCATATGCCTTGATACCCTGACCTAGCAAAAACCTATCCATCCATCCCAGCCTTGAAAATTTGATTGGATGCAGCATCCATAGCCTTTTTGCGGAGAGAGAGGGAGAGAGAGAGAGAGTTCCAGATTTCCCCTCCCCTTTGTGTGCGCGCGCGTGTGTGAGAGACAAACTGCCTCCTGATTTCGCTCCTAAATGGCCTCGCTCTAATTTGTTCTGGAAACCTCCCCCCCCACCCACCCACCAGAGGAAATAGTTTCTCTGTATCTGCCCCATCGAATCCCCTTATCATTTCGAACGCCTCAATTCACGCCCCCTCCCCCTGTCTCGTTGGGGCAGTCGGAAACCGCTCAAACCAATCCACCAACCCAGAAAAAAACCTCGATGAAGTTACGATCACCCTTAGACGTTCAATAGTTTTAGCTTTAACTTAACCCGGGTGAATTTACCTTAAAAAGGCTACAGTGCTGCCCTTCGCCTACCCCCAACCCCACCTCCCTTTCACCTGAAGGGGCAAAATCTGCCGCCCTCAGCACTTACCCACTTTGCCTATAGCTAGAGCGGCTCCTGCGGGTCACGCTAGCTGGGGAAGCAACGCTCCCCCCACCCTCCAATAAAGCAGAATCTCCCCCCACCCCACACACTCCTCCCCTCTGCACAGGCTGACTCGGCTTGCTACAGTAACCAGCAAACGGTGGGTTGCAGACCAGTCGCTAACGCTGATATCTGTGTTTTCCCAGCCACCACAGCCGATCGGTTTTACAGGATCGACCGGGCACAGGTACGTACTGGGCCTCGACTCACTGCCAGCTGCCAGGAAAACATCTGGTTAAACGCTCAACACAACCATGGTCTTAATCTTAGATAATTATTTGGGGAAGACAAGTTCGCAGGGCTATAGGGAGAGAGTAAGGGCGGAGTGGGGTTAATCAGGGCTTTGGGGAGAGCGCGGGGGAGTGGGGTTGATCAGGGCTATGGGGAGAGAGCGGGGGAGTGGGGTTGATCAGGGATATGGGGAGAGAGCGGGGGGAGTGGGGTTGATCAGGTCTATGGGGAGAGAGCGGGGGAGTGGGGTTGAACAGGTCTATGGGGAGAGAGCGGGGGGAGTGGGGTTGATCAGGTCTATGGGGAGAGAGCGGGAGGAGTGGGGTTGATCAGGTCTATGGGGAGAGAGCGGGAGGAGTGGGGTTGATCAGGGCTATGGGAGAGAGCATTGATTTGGAAGCTCTTTTCAAAAGAGCCGGGCACAGACACGATGGGCCGAATGGCCTCCTTCTGTGTTGTATAATTCTATGAGCTTTGAATTGGCTGTAATGTACCAACATGTCCTGGTGCTGTGAATTACTGTGAAGTGGAAGGATTGTGTACATGGAGTCCCATTCCGCAGTGGTTAAAGCGCTCGCCTCGCAAGCGAGAGGACCTGGGTTCGGATCAAAACCTTGGGCACGTTTCTTTACTCCCCCCGCCTCAGTTTACCCAGCAGTAAGTAGGAACCCAGTTGTTAGTCGATTGGCAGATCATTTTTCCGAGGAGTAATAATCCCTTCAAAAAAATAACCCCAACTCCGGGCTCCAGGCTGAGCTAAACACATACTGTTGCCCTCATGAGACATGACTTCACAACAACTTACAACAACAATTTGCGCCCTCCACGCAGGGTAGCGCTTCAGAGCGCTTAACAGTGGCGGAGCCTGACTCCGATCTGGTGGGGTGGGACTTGAGAAAGGAGAGAGAGGAGGGTGGAAGGCGGAGGGATTGAGGGAGAGTGACGTTCACACAGAGGGATATTCATTCCTGTGTCCGCTTCCCTCCAGGAACACTTACACTACGTGACAGACATTTCCCAGGACGAGCTGTTTATCCTGGATCCCGAGCTGGTGATCACAGAGACGGTGGGAACGTCGCCAGGAATGCCGGATCTGGTCGGCTCGTCAGCTTCCTTCTCCTTCCCATCCTGCTCCTCGCCCCCATCATCACCTGTTCCTAGGTAAGAGCCCGGAACATTTCTTGCCTAAATTTCCTGCCTCTCCCCTCCCCCCCACCGCAGCCATAATTACACGAGTGAAGCATTTGTTATACAGTGAGTGTATGAGGTGTGTGTTATACAGTGAGTGTGCGAGGGGTGTGTTATACAGTGAGTGTGTGAGGTGTGTGTTGTACAGTGAGTGTGTGAGGTGTGTGTTAAACAGTGAGTGTGTGAGGTGTGTGTTGTACAGTGAGTGTGTGAGGTGTGTGTTGTACAGTGAGTGTGTGAGGTGTGTGTTGTACAGTGAGTGTGTGAGGTGTGTGTTGTACAGTGAGTGTGTGAGGTGTGTGTTAAATGATGACAGAAGACCTCCCATCTTTCATTTGCAACCTCCATCTTTCCCTCTATGTGTTTCCTATTTCCTCCTATTTTTCCTCCTGGAATCACGCAGCCTCTGATGGTGGAATAACTCAGAGAGGAAGGGCGAGAGGGAGGGAGGGAGATCCAGACAACCAGTCTTGATACCAGCTTCTCAAGAACCAGTCACTTAACACTGGTTCCTAAAGTAAACCCAGAACAAAGCTGTCAGGTTTGCCCAGGTGGCAGGGCAGAGGTTCAGGGTGTGGGGTTGTCTTAGACCAGGGAAGTGTTAATCCAAAATAATAGCAATAACAATCCCTGCAATTGATACAGCGCCTTATCACGTCTTCGAGACGTCTCGAAGCGCTTCACAGGATATACCGTAAAGTGAATTGACGGTATGTTTTGTGGGCGAAACGGGGCAGCCGATTGCACTCAGCGGCGTCCCACGAACAGTTGTGGATTGAAGTGACCGAATTATTATTATTATTATTTTTAATTCCAAACAGAGAATGTGGAAAGAACTACTTCACACAAAAGGTGGTGAGAGCGTGGCAGTCGCTACCTGAAGCCGGTGCTTCAATCAGATAGTGTGGATGCATTCAAGAGGAAGCTAGACATTCACATGAGGGGGCGGGGGGGGGGGGGGAATAGAAAGTGTGTGGGTCTGTAAACCTTTACACAGATGGGGCATCAGGGAGGGAGGTCGAGACTAACACTCTCGCGACTCACTTAAGACCTTGCAAGGCATCTTGTAAGGGGCTTCTCACCCAAACCTCCAGTGCAGACCTGTGATGTCTTAATCTCTCCTCCGTGAGTGTATGAGGGGGCGCAGTGGTAGGGAAGCCCGAGGACAGGGATGGGATGGGGGTCAGGTGATGGAGAACCTAAACCGAGACTAGCTGGTCGCTGTTTGCTGTCGCTCAGATTCTCGATCACTTTGTTGTGGTTCATTTCCGTCTTCAAACTAAAATCTTCTCGTTTTCTCCAATGTTTTCTCTTTGTCTTCTTCTCCTCCTCCTCTCCTCCACTCTCCTCCTCTTCTCCTCTCTCCTCTCCTCTCCTCCTCCCCTCCTCTCCTCTGCTCAGCCCGACCAGCCCTCACTCTGACAGTGAAGCCCTTAACAGAAGACACAAGAAGTCTCTCTTCTCCTCACACTCTGGCTTCCCCTTTCCTGTGAAGAAGAGGTATCGTGTTCTCTTCCCCCCCCCCCCCGTCCCCTGGGCTTCCCCTCCCCTCCCCTCCCCATTGTGGAGGGCACCTCCCTATGTTCAATGCTCTCGTAATAACCTCCAGTGACACTGACCAACTTTAGTCCTGAGCTCCGTGGGCCTTGTCAGAATCCTTGTATTTAACCACCTCGTCAGAACGTCCCCAAATCTTCGGGGCATTTACTGTAAGGTGTAGTGACTGTGTATTTGTAAGCGAATGGGACAGACCTGGCACTCGGCAAGGTCCCACAAAGAACCTCAAAGTGAATGAATAATTTTATTTCGGGGGGGAATTGTCGACCAGGATCCTGGGAGAGAGAGAAACTCCCTCTACTCGAACAGTGCCAGGGGATTATTAATGTACACCTGAACAGCCAGGCTGTTTGACATCTTGGTTTAATGTTTTCCCCCTCCTCCCCCATCACTGCACTGGAGCGTTAGTCTAGACTTGGTTTAAACACACACACAATATTCTGACCCAAGGGCGAGAGGGCGAGTGACCGAGCCAGGCTGACACCTTCACTGCAGTAACTGCGGGAAGAGACTTTGACTGGATTTCTGGTCAAAAGGATGAAAGAGCATAAGATTCTTGAGTGTGTGAGCGAGAGCTGTGGTGTGATGTGTGAGCTGTGGGGTGTGTGTGTGTGTTTTTTCGGTGTGTGTGTGTGTTGAGGTGTGTGTGTTCAGGTGTGTGTGTGTGTGTTGAGGTGTGTAGGTGTGTGTGTGTTCAGGTGTGTGTGTGTGTGTGTTGAGGTGTGTAGGTGTGTGTGTTGAGGTGTGTAGGTGTGTGTGTGTTCAGGTGTGTGTGTGTTGAGGTGTGTAGGTGTGTGTGTGTTGAGGTGTGTGTGTTGAGGTGTGTGTGTGTTGAGACGTGTGTGAGCTGTCAGGATGTGTATATACGGGAGTGAGATGGCTACTCAGTGTCTCCAAAGTGACAAACACTGAAATGCTGTGTGTGTATATGTGATTATGGCTGTGTGCATGCATATAGGTGTATACGTACATGTGTGTATATGTGTGCGCAAACATGTTTGCGTGTGTGTACATAGAAGTATGTATGTGTAAATACACATGTGTGTGCACATATATGGATAAGTACGAGTGTGAAAATATGTATGTGTATACATGTTCATGTGTGTATATACATATAATATACAGATATGTGTGATGTGTGTGTATATACATGGGTGTACGCACATGTATGTTTGTGGACATGTGTGTGTATGTGTGCGTGTGTGTCTAGTTCCGGTCTCTGTCCTGTCTCTCCCCCCACCACCCACCCCCCAGCCCCGCCCCACACCCCCCTCCCTGTAACCCCTCTACAGACCACACCTCGCCCTTGTCCCTCCGACACAGGGTGAACACCCTGAATCCTGCCCCCCTCATTCCCTCGGCCTCCAGCCATTTCCAGGTTCCCCCCGAACATTCCCGTAACACACGGAGAGACAGTTCACTACTGTGTGGTCACTGAGAGACACAGGCCAACTCCCACCACCCACCTGCCCCCCCCCCACCCCTCTCGATCCCAACCCCCAGCTCGGGGCAGGGCCAGACTGGGCCGATCGGAAATAACAACAGGCCCCAAAATCTGCGGTATGGAAATCCGGCAAAATCAACCTCAAATTAAGTCGAGAGAGAGAGAGAGGATTACGGGCTGTGCGGAGTTTAGGAGGGGAGGAGGCCAGGTTTGTGGTGGGAGGGGTTGGAGGTGGGGGGAGTTGGTATGGAACCCAGCAGAGTCCCGAGGGCAGTGAGCGAGCTCGTGACCCTGATTTATTTATCTATTTATTTTATTTTCTCTCCGCTGTAGAATCTCGGACCTGCAGAAAGGTTCTCAGAGGAAGCGAATCTCCAGCGACAGCTCAGTTGCTGAGGCTCTCGCTCACAGTGAGTCGCAAAGAGCCTCGAAGCCTCTGCTCAGCAGGTGAGAGCTTCAAAAGGGAGACGGACGAAAGAGAGAGAGAGAGCAAAGATAGAGAGGAGAGAGAATGAGAGTTATATATGCCCAAGTAAAGCGAGCTCTGGCTCCTGCATTGTGTGACTCCCCCCCCACCCCCCCACCCCCTCGGGCCGGTGAGAACAGACAGCCTCAGGTAACAGTGAAGGTGTCCTTGTTACCTGTGGGAGAGTTCCTGTCCCCGGTGTCAGTTCACAAGGCAGAGTTCCGCAGGCGCCGACTGAAAAGAAGCCGGGGTTGAAAGGCAGACCCACACCTCACTTCGACCTCGTGGTCATTGGTCCGGAGGCTGAGACCGAGTGGAATTCAGGCACCTTGTCTCCAGGTCGGGGTGGGTGTCACCGTGAACAGCCGGGTATCGGACACAACGCAGAAACCCGTCACCGTAACCAGCCGGGTGTCTGACACACACGGACACCCATCACCGTGATCACGTGATCAGCCGGGTGTCTTGACACATACGGACACCCATTACCGTGATCAGCCGGGTGTCTGACACACACGGAAACCCATCACCGTGACCGGTGTCTGACACACACGGAAACCCATCACCGTGACCGGTGCTTGACACACACGGAAACCCATTACCGTGATCAGCCGGGCGTCTGACACACACGGAAACCCATCACCGTGACCAGCCGGTGTCTGACACACACGGAAACCCGTCACTGTGACCAGCCGGTTGTCTGACACACACGGAAACCCATCACCGTGACCAGCCGGTGTCTGACACACATGGAAACCCATCACCGTGACCAGCCGGTGTCTGACACACATGGAAACCCATCACCGTGATCAGCCGGGTGTCTGACACAGGCGGACACCCATCACCATGTGCTTGAGAGTATCAAATCTAACTGAGAATTCCATGCATCCCACTTACATCTGGAAATTCCAGAGACGGAATGGAATACGCACTTTTTCTCTCTCTCTCTCTCTCTCTCCTGCTTACCTAAGGTTGGCCACTTATTACATCAGGATCTCTTCTGGGACTCCAGATCACTGTCTAGAACCCCAGAAGGGTCTAACACCCAACCCCCTCCACCCGAAATTACCGAGGCTCCCCTCTGCCCATCGATAACAAGGAGAGAGCTCTATCACACGCTGGTGATTTGTATAACTCACTGAGTGGGGGCGGAGGGGCTAGACCCACTCGCTGGCACCCCTGTACGTCCTGTATCCATGTTTTTTTGCTCCTAAGTCACTGTTCCTTTAGCCTATTTTTTCCCAAGCTGTGACCGACCATGTTTTTTTTACATCCAGGATCGTCTCAGTCCGGGGTATCTGTCTGCCTGGCTGTTGCGGTGAAGGTGTCTCTCTCTCTCTGTCTCAGTCTGGTTCTCTCTCCGTCTGGGTCTCTCTCTGTCCCAGTCTGGGTGTCTCTCAGTCTGGGTGTCTCTCTGGCTCAGTCTGGGTCTCTCTCAGTCTGGGTCTCTCTCTGTCTCAGTCTGGGTGTCGCTCAGTCTAGGTATCTCTCTGTCTGTCCCAGTCGGTCCCTGTGTTGTTCCTTGTAAATTGGCAAATCCCTACAGCCAGAGAGGGGAGGAGGCAGACTCGAGCTTTGAAGAGAGAAAGTAAACGGACAGTTTAGACGTTTCTACAGTAGAACACCTCTTATCTACATGTGTCCCCATATCCACATCAAGGCTCTGATTGATGGCACCTACAATCTTTAGTATGTAACCAAGTGACTTGTGACCAGGTAAACCACCTTACTGAAGCAGCGCAAGAGGGATCTGCTCAGGTAAGTACATGGATAGGGAGAGAAAGAGAGAGACACACACACTGACTGGGAGATAGAGAGAGAAGGACACACACGCGCACACTGACTGGGAGATGGAGAGAGAGAGAGGCACACACACACTGACTGGGAGATGGAGAGAGACACACACACACACACACACACACTAACTGGGGGAGAGAGAGACACACACACACGCACACACACTAACAGGGACATAGAGAGAAGAGACTCACACGCACAGCAGATAGAGAGAGAGACACATACCGTGAGAGTGAGTGACGCACTCACGCAGACCTGATTATATTCCTGGGTTGCAGGGTTGGGGTGGGGGTGTTGGTGTTGGTGGGTGTGAGCTCCAGCAGTCTGCCTGTGACCTGACCTCTCGCTCTCTGTCTTACAGGACGGGCCCAAAGATAACCAGTGTCCACCGGTCCAACACCACAGCAGCCGACTTTAAACCAGTCGCCATCCCCGTGACTCCAAGGTCAGTCCTCCATCCTGCAATCTCTCCGCCTCGCCCCCTCCGTTGCCTCTTTCAAGACCCATCTCAAGACCCTCTTCTTTGACCGTGCCTTTCCCCCCCTACCCTCCACCCTCCCCGATCCCGACCCCCAGCTCGGGTCCGAAACACCGATTGTCCAGCGCCTTGGGACGTCCTCCCGACGTGAAAGTTGCTGTACCACTCACTGTCTTCGCGACTCATTGAGATGTCTCAAAAGCGCTTCACAGGTTATACTGTATGGTGGAGTGACTGTGCGTTTTGCGAGCGAAGCAATTGCGAGTGTGTCTTGTCCTCGTGTTCTGGTGGGAAGCTAGCGGGAGGGCGGGGGGAGTGGGGGGAACGGATGCAAGGCCCTCATCATTGCTGACCTATAAATGAACCGCGAGGCCCCAGCTCCTTATCAAAGCTGCCGCTACACACCGCCGAGGGATTAGGGACGAGCGAGCGTGGAAATAATAAGGGAAAAAAGGGCATAATAAGCTTTTGATAAATGACTCCAGGGAGGCCGGTGGGGGGGGGGGGTTAAGTACATTTTCTGAGATGCCTGTGTGCGAGACGGATTATCTCAGAGCACATTATGGGATGTGATGCTGGCATTGCTGGGGAGGGTGAACGATGGTATCATCACAATGTATTACAGTCTGTGCCTCTCTGCTATCTCACCCTGTGTTCTCTCAATCTCCTCTGCGCTCTTGTCATACTCCCCCCCCCCCCCCCCCTCATCAGTGATCCCCGCATTGTCTCAGCACCATTTGATCCATCATTTGCTGTGTCCTCCATCTGCCTCACTCGCCATCTAACTGACTCGCTCACTCGTTCACGGGCTAACTGACTCACTGGTTTGCTCATCGCTCACTCCCTCGCTTATTCTCTCTCTCTCTCGCTCCCTTGCTCGCTCACTGGCTCTCTCGCTCCCTTGCTCACTTCCTTGTTCGTTCGCTCACTCCCTCGCTCGCTCACTCACTCGCTTAATCGTTCGCTAACTAGATGGCTCACTCGCTGCCTCAGTGAAGGGCAAAGTTGACCAATAAAAAGAGCGAGAGAAAGAGAAAGGAGAGAGCAAGGAGAGAGAGAGAGAGAGAGAAGGGGAGAGCAAGGGGAGAGAGGGAGAGCAAGGGGAGAGGGAGAGCAACGGGAGAGAGAGAGAGCAAGGGGAGAGGGAGAGCAAGGTGAGAGAGAGCAAGGGGAGAGAGAGAGCAAGGGGGGGAGAGAGAGAGAGAGCAAAGGGAGAGAGAGAGAGTAAGGGGAGAGAGAGAGAGAGAGAGAGCAAGGGGAGAGAGAGAGAGAGAGCAAGGGGGGAGAGAGAGAGAGCAAGGGGAGAGAGAGAGAGCAAGGGGAGAGAGAGAGAGAGAGAGAGCAAGGGGAGAGAGAGAGAGAACGGGGGAGAGAGAGAGAGAGAGAGAGAGAGAGCAAGGGGAGAGAGAGGGAGAGCAAGGGGGGAGAGAGAGAGAGCAAGGAGAGAGAGAGAGAGAGAGCAAGGGGAGAGAGAGAGCAAGGGGAGAGAGAGAGAGCAAGGGGGGAGAGGCAGAGAATAAAGGAGGGTGAGTTGTGTGTGAGATGGGGTGACCACGCCTGACTGCCCGTGGTTAGGCTCCTCGCTGCACGCCCACGGGAGACAGCCAGAGGAGCTGTGACATCTGGGCCGTGGTTTCTCTGGGGAGATTATGTTGATATGGTTATTCTTTCACTTCTGGGACCTGGGAATGAATCCAATCAGATGGTTATCTCTTTCGTTCTCTCTCTCTCTCTCTCCCCCCCTCTCTCTCTCTCTGACTGTCTCACTCTCTGACTGTTTCTCTCAGACTTGCTCTTTCTCTTACAGTCTCTCGTTGAGAGTCTGTGTGTGTGTATGTGCGTATCTCTCTATCTCTCTGTCTCTCTGACTGTCCATCTCTTTCTCTTGACTGTCATTCTTTCTCTGTGTGTGTGGTGTGTGATGTGATGGTATGTATGGGTGTGCTGCGTGGTGTGTGTGGAGCATGTGTGTGTGGAGCATGTGTGTGGAGTATGCGTGTGTGTGGTGTGTGTGTGATGAGTGGAGTGTGTGGGTTGTGTGTTTGGTGTGTGTGTGTGTGTGTTAAAGCTCAGCGGAGATTCCGCAACTAATTTCAGAGGCTTTTCACCGCACTCAGTCGCCGGAGTGCGTCAGAGAACATTAATAGCCTCGAGTACAAACACTCTCTCCCAGTCCTACTCGCTCACTCGCTCATTCACTCACTGCCTTGCCACTGCTTCGCTCGCTCACTCACACATTTATTCTCTCTCGCTCACTCACTCACTCACACATTTACTCACTCATTCACTCACACATCCTCTCAATCACTCACATTTACTCATTCATTCACTCACATTATTCTCTCAATCACTCACACATTTACTCACACATTTACTCACTCACTCACTCAAACATTTACTCTGTCACTCACTCACTCACTCTCTCTGTCACCAGAGCTAACTCTCGGAGATATTATTTATACGCTTATCCTCTCACTGAGTTTTGAGCCCATTTTCTGTCTTGTTGTTGGCAGTACAGAGCGGTTGTGGTGTCTGGAGCTGTTTCCGATGGCTTTGCCCGGGAAGGGGAACGAGAGGCCTGAGCTCCTGAGGTCTGACCACCTCACACTGGGGGGAGGGGGGGAGCGTCTCCACTGATTCCCCCTCTCCCCCTCCCTCTGATGATTGTTGATGTACGAGTCTCAGCCTTGACTGTAGCCCCTGCCTTCTCACTCAGCTGCCCCAGAGCTGCAGAGGGACCTGGAGCAAAGACCTTGGCTGATTTCGCCCTCCCTGACCTTGGGAGCGATGGGAAGGGCGGCAGTTTAGCTCCGGCTGATCCCAGCAAATTCAGCATGGGAGGGAGAGGGAGGTTGAAACCAGCGGACTGTATCTCTAGCTAGGACCGCCCTACTTGTTAGAGCTTTGGCTGCAGGATTAACAGCACCTGAGAGGGGGGATACCCTGCCCCCCCCCCCCCCCAGTATCTGGTCAGCCCTTTCAGGTCCTGCCGATGAGCCAGGCCGGGCTGTGCTGCCATCAGCAGTGAGTTTCCTGGAATACTGCAGACCCTTCTGGATCAGGAACCAGATTAGAGAGAGACCACCACAGAGAGGGCTGGCTCAATTCTGACATCCCATTGACAAACATGTCCCCTTAGAGCCAGTTCACTCGAAGGAGACCCCACATACCTCCCTCCCCCATCCCCAAGGAGATTAACTTGGGGTTTAGAAGCAATCAGCCAGTGAGAAGCTCTCCTTCGCAGGGAAACCCATGAAAATGGCTGCTCTTTACTATTGAATTTCCTTTATCGTCACAGGATTGAAAGAACAGCGCCGTCCGGCGCAGTAGACGACAGTCTCTTTGACGCGGTGAGGACCAGTGACTTACAGAGGGTAAGTCACGCCTACAGCACTCTCAAGCCACAGAGTGTCTCCGTTGCAGTGGGAACCATTTCAATCAGGTCTACCAGCAGGGAATCACCCGCCTCCCATCCCCAACCCCACCCTCCCAATGCCTCCCCCTCCCCCTCGCACCCCCACCATCCCAATGTCTCCCTCTCCAACCCCCACCCTCCCAATGCCTCCCCATCTCTTTCCAATCCCCAAGCTCTCAGTGCTTTCGCTGGTCGCCCCCACCCCGGCTCAATATCGTAGCTCTATCCCGGGCCCTGGGATGCTACTCACCGAGCGTTGTTGGGTTCACAGCTGCGGGAGCTGCAGCGGGGGGGTGCGGACCTCATGGTGCGGGACTCACTGGGCTGGACCCTTCTGCACCACGCCGTCAATGGGGGCAACAAGGACATGGTGAAGTACATCCTGGAGAACGGTGAGGGAGAGTGTACTGTTTTTTGGGGGGTGGGGGGAGGGTGGGGTCGGTGGGGGAGGGGGTGGACAGGGAGAATGTCGGTCAGCCGGGTGTCTGACACGTGCGGAAACCCATCAGCCATTAAGAGTCTCCGAACCCAACTAAGAATCCCCTGCCTCCCACCTACACATGGAAATCCCAGAGATAGACTGTTGGAATAGAATACACTCTCTCTCTCTCCCTGGAGGACATATCCTCTTTACCTAATTCCGGAGAGTATTAGGCGCAGGTTGGCAGGAGCCAAGGCTTGGGGTGTGGGGGAGGGGGGAGAGCCCAGAGAATATGTGTTGTGGGTAATTGCTGTTGTCTAACCAGCTAAAACCACATAGCTTGCCACAGTCCACGGAGAGACTGCAGCCCTCTCCTCGAGGGAATTTACACCCCTACCACCCACAAAACCAGTCACACATGTCCCCCTCCCCACCCCACTTCCCCTCCCAAACACACATACAGTCTGCGGGGGGCGCTGGGCTGGGCTAGTTGGTTACAGCGCTTGGCTCGTTGAACATTATCGGTAACTCCACACATTATGCCCCTCTCTCACTGCCCCTCGCTCTCTCACTCTCTACCACCCACCACCCCACCCCTACCCCGACTCTCTCTCGCTCTACCCCTCTCTCATTCTGGGTGCTACATGTCGGCCACATATACGTCAGTTGTCCTCGATCCCCCCTCCCCCACCCACCAGGTCCGTGGAAACCCCTACCCCTCTGGGACGACTGCGTTTGTAAACTTCCAACCCAATAACGGCCTCAGTAAAGAGCTTCCCAGACAAACCCAGCGTTACATACAGGTCTGAGCTTTAGAAATGTCATCAGGTAATTGCAGTGACTAGTGGCGTTAAATACTCTCTCTTCGTTCCCCTCCCTCAGCCTCTCCAGAGATACTGGATTTAACAGAGAAGGAGAAGTAAGTTGCAAAGTTTCTTTATCGGTCGGGGGCTGGTGAGGAGGGGGAGGAGGGGGCATTAGGAGGGTGGGGGTTGAGGCATTGGGAGGGTGTGGGTTGTAGCCCACAGGCAAATTGAACAACTGTACCATTGTCTTCACGAGGTGTGGGTGTGAGGGACGTGAGTGAGTTGGGTGGGGTGGGCGGGATGTGAACGAGGGCCGAAGGCGGGAATGTGAGCAAGTGGGGGGAAGAAGGGCGAGTTCAGAGGTGTTGACTGAATCAGAGGGGAGACGAGTCAATGAGGTCAGGATCGTGGGGAGGGGGAGAGAGCCCCGGGGGAGTTGTCAGAGCACGTGACACTCTCCCATTGCAGCCGTCGAGACTGAGACTATGGGGAATTGGGTCAGCGTTTGGAGAGTGCAGTCCTGTAGCTCAGTGGTTAGAGCATTCGCCTCGCAAGCGAGAGGACCCGGGGTTCGATTCCCGGGTAAGACAAGATGTAGGGCAAGTTTCCTTACTCCATATGCCTCTGTTTACCCAACAGTAAGTAGAAACCCGGTTTTAGTCGATTGGCGGATCGCTTTTCCAGGGGTGACAATCCCTTAAAAAAACATTTTTAATAATAAATTGGTCACTTCAATCAACGACTGTTTGTGGGGACGTCCCTGGGGGCAATTGGCTGCCGCGTTTCACCCACAAAATACACAGTCAATTCACTTTACAGTGTGTCTGGGGCTGACGTGATCAGGCGCTGTATCAAATGCATGGATTATTATTATATGACAGAGGTGGCGGGAGGGGGGTGGGTTGGGGGAGGGATTAGGATCCGAGGGTCTGAGGCTTAATGTACGGTCCGTTCTGTGACTGTCTCTCCCACCGCTCCTGGGGGCGGGTGGGGGTGGGGGGTGCGGTGCGGCTTTTCTGAGGCTTTGGGAGAGGAAGAGTCTGTTGACTGTTGACGCTCTGATCTCTTCCAGTGGGGAGACAGTTCTGCACAAGGCGGCTGGGCTGAAACACAGAACTATCTGCCACTTCCTGGTGGAAGCCGGAGCCTCGTTAATGAAGACAGATTTACAGGTAATGTCCCACCTCACACAACAGCTTCTGGGTATCAGAGAGTCACGGTCACTGGGCAGTGGGGGGAGAGAGAGAGAGAGAGAGAGAGAGTGACTGGACACTGTGCCTTTCCTCTCTCTGCCCCTCTCGCCCCTCATTGCTTCTCGCTCTCGCACTCTTTACTACTCCTCACACACCTCTCGCGCTCTACCCCTCTTTCACTCTCTCTCTACCCCCCTCTGACTCTATCTGCCCCTCCCTCTCTCACTGCGCCTCTCTCTCTGCCCCTCTCTCTTTCTCTGTTCCTCTCTCGCTCTCTCTCTCTTCCCCCACTGTCTCTCTGGCCCTCTTTCACTGCATCCCCCCGTCCCCCCCATCTCTTTCTCTGCCTTCTCTCTCATTCTCCCTCTGCCCTCTCTCTCTCTCTTGCCTCCCCCCCCCCTCTCTCTCTCTCTCTCCCTCTCTCTCTCCCTCCCTGTGATCAGCGATTGACGCTGGGGCTGTGCAGAGGTTGGGGTTGAGTCTGGGACAAACAGCGACGGTTGTCCTGTACCAGCACAAAGCTGCTATTGTGCAGCTAACCCCGACCGCACTGCGTTCAGGGTTAACAACTGGGGGAGGGCGCGGCGGTGGTGGTGGTGGGGGAGTGGGGGGGAAGGAATGGGGGGGAAGGAGGGGGATGTGGGGGGGGGTAGATGATTTACAGCGTGTGACAATTCACTCCAAATAAATCCGCTGCCCTCTCTAATCTGGATCTGCCATAAATCCAGCGCAAAGCCAAAGTGACAGCCCCTGTATAAACAGAGACTTGAGAGTCAAGTCTTCCATCATCTAACCAGACAGGTCAGGTCTCTCTCCCTCCCTGGGAACCCAGATGGCAAACAGCTAATTGAATGTGAATAGAGTAGGAATACCAGACACCGCGGAGTGTGTGTATTTGAGGGGGGAGAGAGAGAGAGAGAGAGATATTAAGTTTTTAAAAAAAACTGGAAGATTTTTTTTAATCAAAGATTGAAAATGGCTGTAAAGAGGCATTGAGCATCCCAAGGCGCTATTTAAATGCAAGTTGTCGTTGTCGTGAGGGTAGATGGAACTGTCTGAAACTCGTCCGTCACGTTCTCCGGGTCTGCGGCTTCAGATGGTCCGAGCCTGAGGCAGGAATCTGGGGAAAACTCATGGAATTTGGCCCCGAGTCTTTCTTGAACGGCTGTTCCCGGATTCGGCCCGGAATTCCTGAGCTTTTCCAGAGGGAGGTAGATGGAGGCAGCGGTGTGCGCTCACGTCAACGAGAGAGAGAGAGAGAGAGTGAAAAAAAGACTGAGAGAAAAAGAGCGAGCGAGAAAGAGATTGGAAGATAGATGTGGAGAGAGAGCGAGAGAGAGAGAGAGAGACGGAGAGAAAGAGAAGGAAAGAACAACAAATTTCCATGTATATCGCGCCTTCCGTGTTGGGAGGACGTCCCTAGGCGTTCAGAAAGATAGAGAGAGAGAAAGGAGAGAGATCGAAGAGCCCCATTGTAGGCCCAACTCCAGCCCTGGCATGGAGGACTGCGAGCATTCACCACATCACAAGCCTCTCTTGTACAATTGCCATGGCAACCGCTGGAAACTGGGGAAAAATGGGGTCTCTGAGACAGTGGAGTGAGTGATTAAAAAGCCCGTTGAGCAAAATGTGGCTGTGGAGTGCCAGGCCGCAGCGAGGCCGGCGTGGCGTCTTTGTGGCCGAACTATAGCCATTGTGGCTGCGGAGGGGGAGAGAGGCAGGGCGGCCGCTCACTGGCTGTGTGGGTGCTTTGTACAGGGACCAGCACTGCGGAAGCCACCAAGAGTCACACACAAGCTTAATAACATTCCTCGTCTTCGTCTACAAATCCCTTCACAGTCTCCCACCTTCCCTCCCTCCCTCCCTCTCTCCCTCCCTGCCTTCCTCCCCTCAGTGTGCGACTGGTGAGGAGAGGAGTAATGGGTGCACGCAGGTTAATGGTTTGGGTGAGATGAAGCCAACAAGGTTGGCGAGGAGGGTATCGATGGGCTTTCTCTCTCCGCCACCGTGAAGCGCTCCCGAGCTGAAGCGCTCCGAGGCGCTGCCCCACGCAGAGGCTGCTATGTAATGGCGAGCTGTCGTTGGTGGAAGTTGGGGAAGTTGGGGGTGGATGTGGTTGGGGGCAAAGCAGTGGAGGGAAACCATTTTGTGTCTTGGTTCCACTCTGGCAAGCGGCCATTTTGAAGACGGGTTAATGACCTTCTCTTCTCCACCCCCCCGGCAGGGAGACACACCGAGACACCGAGCCGAGAAAGCGATGGACCACGAATTGGCGGCGTATCTAGAGAACAGGCAGCACTACCAGATGATACAGAGAGAGGACCAGGAGACGGCAGTGTAACGGCATAACCCTGAACCTCCCCCACCATGCCCCCCACCCCCACCCCTCTTCCCCCCCTCCCCCACCTCCCCACTGACATTTGTGACGGCCTCAAAGCGTCAGAGGGCGGCCATTTTGTGTTTAGGTTCCGCTCTTGCCAGCGAGAGACCCCCTCAATCAAAATGGCAGCAAATGGCGGCTCAACGATTATAGACTGGCAATGGCGGTGGGACGGACGGACGCACGCAAGCACGCACGGGCAGACAGACAGACCACGGCGGCTTCAACTGAAACCGGACGCTTTATACGGTGCTGTAAATTTCGCCGTTAACTTTATTTTTCTTAAAAAAAGATTGCACGTTACCACGGCGATGTCCACGGAACTCGCCCAGTTTATTGCGAACAGTGTTACATTCTCCCCCCCCCCCCCCCCCCCCCCGCCTTCCCAACCACCCCCTCCTCTACCCACAGCCTCTTCCTCCTTCCTTCCCCCCCCTCCCCGCCCGCCCCCGGCCCGGCTTCTCCCCCCAACATTCCCACCACCTCACCCCCTCCCTGTTTGTAACCCGCTTTGAGGGGAGACAGAGGAGAGGGGACGGGAGCTTAGAATTAGGTCGAACTCTTGCTACCTCTGTAGGCAGGTTGGGGGTGCTAAGTGCGGCCTTTTTACGTGTCGTTTTTTTCCCCCTTTCTCTGTGCGAGGAGCATTTTGGTGTGTCAGAGGAGTTGAGAATCTGCCAGGAGTTGAGTGAGCAAGGGAGAGGAGGACAGGGTGGGACCTCCCAAATCTCGTTGAGTAAGAGTTAAGAACAAGGCCTGTTCTACGGGAGGGAACCCCAAATCCCACCCAGTCTCAGTCTGTCCAAGCGGGTTCCAAATTCAGGTGAAATTTAAGATCTCCCCCCACCCTCCCACCACCCCACCCTCGCAGTCTTAAAATTTTGAGGCACATGAGGCCCACAGGTCAGAGACTGGGTACAAGTTCGTGCTCGAGAGTTTTGTACCACTTTTTGACTATGATTTTTATTTATCATCCCTGATCATTTGGGGTTGGGTTAAAGGCAGAGAGCGAGAGATAGACGGTGAGAGAGAGAGAGAGAGAGGGGGAGAGGGAGAGAAATGGGTGAGAACCCTTCTTGTAAAGGCTCGCTAAAAGGAAAACAACCTCTCAAGAAAAGCTACAAGTCCCGAAATTCCCCCCCCCCCGCCCGCCCCCCCTCAGGCTTAGCCCATGGGACCATTTTTGTCTTCAAATTCAGGGCAAAATTCGGCAGAGTTTTGAAATCGTACGGTAAAGGGTTTCACGCTTTGAGGTCAAAATGCCAAACGTGCACACGCACGCACACAGCGCTGAGGAGAGAGGCCATTTTGAAACAAAAGGCCCGGAAAGGGAATGGCAGAAAAAATCCCTGTTTCGGGACGTTTCTCGGAAAACGAAGGGATTCCCGGGATGTGCAGGAGAAGTGGGGGTTGACGGCGGAGGAGGGTCGGGGTGGGGGGGGGGGGAGGGAGAGGGGGCGCGGCGGTGGGGAAGGGGGCAAGTATTTTATTTTTTTAAATAAAAGGACCACTGTTATTTGTTTTATTTTTGTTGGCAAATGTTTTTCTTTATTAATGTGAAAACGCTGCCGAGAGGGGGAGCGTTCTGTTCGGGCGGGTCTGTCAGACGCCCCTCGATGGGCCGCTAAGAGCCCCCCTGCCCCCGCCCTCCCCCTCCTCACCGCCCACCCCTGTTGGCAAGAAAAGGGTCCAAAATGCTAAAATGTCTCCCCTTGGAAGCGGAGTCAAAAGTTGTGGGAAATAGGGCAGAATCTACCCGCCACTGCGTGGTGCTGTTGTTTACCAGTCACTTCAGCTGTGCTGATGAGGACCTCAGTGAGCAAGAGACATCTAGTGGCGGTCAGAGGCAACTGCAACCACAGTCTTGAGGCTTGAGATCCCCTTAGCCTTATCCCCTGGAGACCACATTTGTCTCCCAACACTTAAGTTGGCACTTTAGTGTTATACCCTTAAATTCAGGCTTGATTTGGAAGCCGGTTTCCCGCAGTTCTTGTAAGGGAAGACGGCCACTATTATCCCAAAGTGAGAGCCAACGGAAGGACTTTTCCCTTGTGATCCTGAGAGATTGTACGCTTCAAGATAAAAGAGCCGTTCAGGCTGGGTGCGTGTGGAATTGCGAGGCTGTGTAGGGAAGATGGGGTAGAGACGGCCATTAAAAACTGTACCCTGTAACCAGCTCTGCGTATCGTGGGTTTCAATGGGTGGGTGGAGGGCGAGGGGGAAGGTGGGTTACTGAGGTGACATCCTCCAGGGTGTAGACCCTGTTCACTGAGCAGTGGGACGCCCCCCGTCCTCCGCCCTCCCACCTCCAACCCCACCAAGTAGATTGTGGGACCCCCACCTCTTGATCAAAGATAAGCGGAGAGTGTGGGTTGAGGGAGAGGGGGTGAGGAAGGGCGGGGTGGGGGGCGCGTGCGTGGGCACCTGTCTCACTGCTGGATTCACTCAGGAAAGAAAGAGAGAGAGAGGGAGAGGGAGAGCGAAAGAAGGAGAGCGCAAAAAAAAAGAAAGAAAACGGATTATTTTTAAAGAAAAAAGTTTACAAACTTTCTGACCTTAACTCGGAAGAAAAGACAGGGTTGTGTGCATGTGTGTGTCTGTGTGTGTGTGTGCGTGTGTGTGTTTGTGTGTGTGTGTTGGGGGGTGTGGTGGGGTTGAGACTACTCTGCTGGTGGTTGTGTAAATAAGTTCTCGGAACAAAGGAACAGGATTTCTCTACGGTTGTAAATTTTCCCCACAGATAAGAGAAAGATTGTAATATTTCCGTGCCGTTCTCTTTATGTTTTCTGCTGTTTTGCTGTTTCCGTGTGACTCTGTAATTACTTTGAGAGAAAAAAAGAGGTGTCAGCCCTTTTTGTAGATTGGTATATCTTCAGCCATTTGCAATGGTTTTTATATTTGCGTATTGTGTGCGCGTGTGTGCGTGCATGCATGTGTGCGCGTGTGGTGTGTGTGTGTGTGTGCGCGCACGCGTGTGTGCGTTCGTGCGCGCACGTATGTGCGTGTGTGCGTATGTGTGTGTGTTACACAGAGAAACAGCCTTGATATGCCTGTTAATGAGTTGAATGCATTGCGATCATTTCCTCCCACCTCGACCCCCTCCCCACCCCCCCCATTTGAAACTGTGAATCGAATTCCTGGTGTGTTCCTCGCTTGAGAGTGACGTGACGCCATGTCTCGCGATGGGGGGGGAGAGAGATGTGGGGGGTGGGGTGGGCGGAGGAGGCGGTGGGGGGGGGATAGAGAGAGATAAATACTGTGTGAGGGTTAGTCTGCTTCTCTCCAGCACGAAAACATGGGAACAAGAGAGACCAGAAGAATTTGCTGGCGAAAAAAGTCCAAGGGCCATCCGGTTTGCCTTCCACCATCCTGGCAGTCGCTCGACATGTCGTGTCCCCAAACTATACATGCACTGTATCCCGAGATTTTATTTCCTTACAGAAATCTATCTTAATTTATTCTTGAAAGCATCGACACTTTCTGACCACCATCAAGAGAGGGAACTGAGAAGGGACAGTGTGCATTTGGCGATTCCCACTTTTGGGGATGTGCGATGATTCGGACAAACCCCTTTAAAGCCGAAGTATTTAAAAGAGAAACCTACGGGTTTGAGGATCGAGTGCCGTTACTCGTGAGCAGCGCACAAGGCGAGGAAGGGCTGAGCCGTCGCTGACTGGAGCGAGGAGCACACCAGGCTCGGTATAAATGTCCTTTTATTGGGTTCCGTATCAATGGATTTGATTGTAACTTGCATCAGACTGGACCAATAAAAAGAAACCAGACAAAAAGAACACTGAGCTGATCCCTCTCTGATTTGTTGTGGTCGCGGTGCCCCTACCCCGACTGCTGTACCCCCACTTGCCCTCCCCCCACTTTCGCGCCCGCCCCACGCCCCCCCACACCTTGCGTGCCCCCCCACCTCTCTCTCACCTCCCTCCCCCTGCATTTCCCCAGCTGTTGTGTATTTCAGATGGGAATCAAAAGATTTACTTAGTAATAAAAATAATAAGCCTTGCATTTGTTAGGATAATAATAATCCTTGCATTTGATACACAGCACCTTATCACATCGTTGAGACGTCTCAAAGCGCTTCACAGAATATACAGTAAAGTGTAGCGACTGTATTTTGTGGGTGAAACGCGGCAGCCAATTGAACACGGAGGTAACCCCACAAACAGACGTGGATTGAATGACCACATTTTTTTAAGGGATTATTCCCCCAAGAAAAGCTTTCAGAGGCGAGTGGAGTAAGGAAACTGGGAATGCAACTCGGGTCCTCTCGCTTGCGAGGCGAGAGCGCTAACCACTACCCTACGTAGACAGTGGAGAAGCCACATAGTGCACGACGTGAACGACCGACTGCTCTGGGGGATCGTCAGCCAGGAGACCGGGATGTTGAACATTCACTGGATTTGTCCTGGATTTAACATCTCATCCATAAGCACGGCACCTCTGCTAACGCAGTTGGATTCTCACCTGTCCTGCCCTGCCTTGAGGGCTGAAGTCTCAGACTAGACTGTGAGCCCAAATCCCTCAGTGAGCCAGTCACTGGAGGGCAGCAATTTAAGATAATTAGTAATGGTGTGTGTTGGGGTGGGGTGGGGGGGGCGGGGGTGGGAGAGAGAGATTAGGAGGAATGTTATTTTACATACAGAGTTATTTGGATATGGAATGTCCTGCCAGGTGCTGTGGCCAAGGCAGAATCCATTTCAGTTTTCAAGGAGAAGTTGGATGGATACCTCTAACCGTGCAAGGTTATGGGTGAAAATAAATAATAATACTTCCATTTGGTACCGCTCCAGAAGGACATCTTGATGATGATGATAATAATAATAATATTAATTCTTGCATTTGATATAGCGCCTTATCACGTCGTTGAAACATCTCACACGTGTGATATATTGTAAAATGTAGTGACTGTGTATTTTGTGGGCGAAACACGGCAGCCAATTGCACATGGCAGTCTCCAACAAACAGTCGTGGATTGAGTGACTGCATTTTTTTGGGGGTC